GTAGTGGTTAGAAATCAATGTTACTAACCCGCTTTCCTTTTGAGTTACTTCATGAAGAAGTAACCTTTCAAGGTGTAGGCAACCGAAAAGCGTCAACCACTCTCAAATCTCTCTCAGCACTCAAGCGTATACACACCTATGAACAATGCAAGAAGAAAAATCAAGTCTTGATTCGTCAAGAGGATCACAGTAACTTATCACAAGCATTTATGAAATACCACACAGGACGAATCTTGCATAACTAAAGAGTCAACAGAGAATAAATTCAAAAGGGATAATACAAATACGACTTCAGTGTTGACATACATAAACTGTTTTTTCTAGTGTTACAAAATTGCAGACATTAGTGTCTGTCTATTTACTTTGTATGTGTATACTTATTTCCATTGAACATGAAGGCAAGAAATACTTTCGTATCTACAAAAATCCCGTGAATAACTTTAACACTCCATGATTCCTGCGTTTTCTTTTTGGATTTCATTTTGTTATCGTTCGACTACTTGAGATAGCTGCAGTTTGACAAACCAGTATTTATACTGGGTGGTGGTTGAAGGTGAAGTGAGAATTTGGACCATAGCCGGATTCGAACCAGAGACCACCGGGTTTTCAGCCCGATGCTCCACCAACTGAGCTACGAGGTTCGACTGGTGACCAGATTTTTATTTCACTTCAATCACCAAGGGTTTTACCCAACTACCACGTAAATTCGTGACGCGTTACTATTGATTGAAGTGAAATAAAAATCTGGTCAGTAGTTGAACCTCGTAGCCCAGTTGGTAGAGCATCGGGTCGGAAAACCCAATGGTCGCTGATTCCAATCCGGCTGCAGTCCAAATTTTCATTTCACCTCCAATCATCATCCAGTATAAATTCTTTTTAGTACTTAATGATTTGTCGCATACCGACGATGTGAGAAGTTATCATTCACAGTGATGAAGTTAAAATCTGATTTCATCTAGCATAGGGAAGAAAAAAAGAAGGAATATAATTTAACTTATTCCCTTCAAAGAGGTTTAATTGCTTTCCTAATTATATCTTCCCTTTATCCAAATGAGACTCGAATTATGCACCAATCACCTGTAAATCTGAACGGTTTCTAAATTGTTCACAGTCAAATTTGAACAAAAGACACTAGAGGAACATGAGAAATTAAAATGCAGTTGATTTCTGCTTATGAACTTAACTACATTTGACATTGATGAAGGTCTCTTCCTGCTCTTTTCTTCTGATTAATTTTTACTACATTCCCACGTTTTCCTTTTTCGAAAGTAAACAATGTTACTGTATATACTACGTATGACACCATTGGTCAGGTATCCCCTATTTATTCTACTTTACAGAATTTATAACCGAGTCGTTTTATTATCTTTTGATAAACTTAACCTATGGCGAAGCCAAACAGGTCTGTATTCAAACGAATGACATACATAATTCGCTGACATCTTTGAATAGATGACGAGACAGGACTAGAATGCAGCAACCACTGCACGTTTCAACTATTTATTACAAGATATGTAATAAATTACTTGCAGGTGTCAAATACTAGAATCAAACTTAAAAATCCTTGTATCAGTGCTACGATCATCAATTTCGAATGAGTTCATCGAAAATTATACTTTTTGATACGCCTTGAGTCATTCTCATTCGTGGTAAAAACTATCAAAGTTGAAAAATTGTCAAAACAACAGTCAATTTCATTACACAACTGAAGCAATCCATTGTACCATTAACAGTTGTTAGGTTTTAATAGCCAAATGTCATCAGCTTAAAACTTGTTGTGATATCTATCCTTTTTGTAATTTCAACTGTTGACCCCCTGTATGTACATGAACCTGTCGATAAAGTCTGTTCTCGATAGTTTAGTTGACGACATCTAGTTTTTGATATACTACGGACAGCATAACTGATGCTATTATAATTCCACCACACCTCAAATCAGTACATAAAGAAACAAGGTAATTAGACGAAATACAACGGAATGGAAGTGGCTAAATCAAAAACATAGGAAACCATCAGATGAGAGGAAGATAGGATAAAGCAATTATGAAAATATAACTGAAAGGTTGAGATGAAAATCAGGTGTGGGTTCATCTACATTACTACAATAGATTCTTAGCTATACCACCAAGAGTCTCCAACCATCGATATTCCCTGTTCCGCAGACCTCAAACTAGAAGCGTAAACGTTCTGACACGGCTTCCATCAATGGTCAGTTTGCATGTAACTGATACTACCCTTAACTTTATCCCTTATTAATCCTACTTTGAAGTAAACAGTGGCTAAACATGCGTAGTATTTGACAAACATCTTAGCTGACGGAAGTTTACCATCTCATCAATTAACTCACTTATTTCACTCAATAGCTACACCCCACTTCTACACCATGTATGTAGCGATCCCAAAACAAACAATACAGGGCTTATAGTGTAACACCTGTTCTACAATTTTCATCATTATGTTTCATAGCTATATTGTGGGACGAAGTAAACTGCTGCTTAGTTTATTCGATCTTTAGTAGGCAGATAAATAGTCATCGTTTGGTCAAGATGAATAGTGCCACAAGCTATTTCATTGTATTTACTATTTACGCCTTGAAGTTTAGACCAACGTCTAATTAAGATATAAACTTTGACATATACGTGAAGTTAAGACGCTAAAAGGTGCTTCATTTTTACTCCAGTAACCTTTTTTCCGTGTAGACAAGTTAAAAACAAGCGAAAAAAAAACATATAACCTTTTTAGTTTTATTTGGGTCACTCAAATGGAGTAATAGCTTTAATCCGATTATACACCAAAATACAATTTACACGTATATATTGTGTGCATAGTCTATGAAACTTCACTGTAATCTGATTTAGAAAGAGTACACTCTCAAGAAAGTGATAAACAAAAATGGATTAGTAAAGGTCAACGTAAAAAAAAAGTCCACTAATTACTCATAATTACTGCCAGTATTATGATCAGTTTGACAATCTTAGTATCTCTACTAGCATGAAAGAGGGCACAGTTCACTGTTTCTCAATTTAACCCACTCTCTCAAAAATGCACATACAAACGGGTTAAAATAAGTTCATGTATGACTGAAAAATCACATTTTCCAAATCTACCAAAAATTAAGAAACACACTGGAAGACAAAATAACAAAAAACTTTCTTTATGCTTTTAAATTCATTCTAATTAGTTGCCGGCATTTTAAAATGATAAGTGATTCCATTATAACCTTTCAGACCACTTTCACATATATAAAGAAATAAGACATGTTAGATAGGTTCGACACTTAGTGTTACTGCTTGTATCGTGGCTCAGTGATCTAGTGGATAGCGCTCTGGTGTCTGAAGCGATCGGTCCCGGGTTCGAGTCCCGGTGGGGACAACATTCACTGAGGTGCAGATACTTCTAGCTGACGAGTTCCAAATAGAACGATACGCGTGTTCTGGATTCCACTGCTTGCCACTATCCATCATTAATAGATTCGACATTGCTAATTTAGAGCTAATCATTTCGCACAATATGCCTTCTGTTAACAGTACAGTCGTGCTTCGTTCTTAATGTAGTGTGGCGTAGTTAAAACTAGGCTGTAGGCTAAAGAAATGTGGCATCAGTTTGTTAAGTCTTTCACTGTTGGTCTGAGTCATGTAGGAAGTGTAGTTTATCCGGTCTGGGTCGATATGACAACCTAAATTGGTAGTCGGAAACTCTAGGTGATATGACCCAGAGTTAATCTGAGTGATACTCATACATCCTCAGATTATCCTCATTCTGCTATTTGTTAAACAATCCTTGATTACATCTTTCCGCAGAATTTCTACACCTTTTATCGTAGTGTCTTGTACGTTGATGTGCTAACGCGAGGTGTGGCAGCTTTGACCATTATCCGGTAATGCCATGTCTCATGTTGATATTGACTAACTGAGATGTAATATATGAATACTAGTCAGTTATTTTGGTTGAAGATCAAGGTTCGATGTATCTCACTTAAAACCATCACTCTGTGAAACTAATTTTTACTCCTCACCCTCATCAAAGAACTAGGGAGATATGAGATATTGCAATAACTGAAAAGGATAAATGAACAATGAGACACTTAGTGAGACGAAAAACGCATAGTGACGTCTCACTCATTCACCTTCGAATAAGCAAAATATTCCATTATCAAAATCATATTTTAAAAAAAACAGTCTGGTAATCCAGTGACCACTTATTCAAATGTTATAGTGACCAAAGTTTTCTGCTGTGTCCATTATCCCTGAAAACTTATTAGTAAGTATTGTAGTGAACATTACTTATGAATGATAAGATAAGCCAATATATGTAGTAATGTTAGAAAAAAAAAGAAATAATAACAATTGACTCGTGAAGAGCCTGAAGGGAAGAAAATAATAAGGACAATAAAAATGCATACTGCATTGCTCAAAAAGAATGTTTGCTAATGTGACTTCATTCTAAGCTTTAATATTTTTACCCAAACTAAATATAATTGTCCAGGCCCACTGAGGACATCACGCGTCAGGCCAGTAGCTCGAGTGGAATCCCCATGGGAAGCGACGAGTTGGACGTCCCAGCGGAGGGTGACATGGAGGAGGTCGTGCGAGGAGGAAATGAGAGGTTGTGGGCTGTCGTGGGACCAGGTTCAAAAGATCTCAGAGAACAGAGGTCACTGGAGGCGTGCTACTGAAGCCCTATGTTCCACTAGGAACCCAAGGGACTAATAATAATAATAATAAATTATAATTGTCCAGTAAGCAATCTCTGCTGCTCAAGTGAACTTCGCTTCAGTACGAAAATGTATATTAAAAGTGTGGAGACAGAAAACACGAATTCTTGAATTTAAGATTAATTCATTTCGTTATTCATCAAGCTAGTTATGTCTACGAGTCATGTTTCCGAAGACAAGTCGAATCACCAATGAGCATTCACTGCGGTCACAAGTGAATAAGTGTGCATACATATGAAAATAACAATAATAACAATAATAATAATGGTTAGTAAAGGCTACTTACTTCCAATTTCTGTTTATGGTATTCACTGTCGGGAACTGAAATTAATAATAATAATAATAATAATAATAATAGGATAGAAAAGGAAATATCCTCGAAATAAATAATCCACATAAATAGCTAATTCCATCAATTTATCAATAACTTTAGAAAAAAACACTTGAAAATAGAGAATAAAACACTGACATCCACATTAAAAATTTATGATAGGAACTAAATAACTTTAGAGCAAGTCAATAGCAATTCCATAAATTGTATAATCAAAAGTTATACAGTATAGTGCATCTATTCTTCATTGTTTCATGACACTGCCTACCTTTACATAAATACACTCCAGAACGCAGCATTAAGTATATCAACAATGACGGAGAGTTATAAAATTTTAAGGAAGACATCAACAAACAAAATGAAGAGAAACAAACCTTCTCAATGGCAAAGAATATGTCAAGTACGTCAATGCTTTTATTTTTCTTGGTGGTAGTTGGCAATAGAATCCAAGATACAGGTTTTGTCCTGTTCAGGACTCGTTAGTTGGATCCAACTGCATCCAGTGAGTGATGGTATCCCCACTGGACTCGAGCCCCAGGCCCATCGCTTCAAACGGTATCAACTAGGCCACTGATGCACGACATACAAGGGTATTAGTTATTATTATTTGTTGGTACTTGTAGTTTACAGCTGTTATATTGGATCGAACTGATAGAGCTCCGTTGGTATATCACCTAGATAATACTTGTTATAATTTTCTAAATTTGTTGAAGATAGTTATATCAGTCACTACAACATCAAATGTTAACGTGAAGCTAAAATTATTAACCAAGATAACCAGCCTTCATATACAATGTCAAGTATTGTCTAAGAGATATACCTGAAGTGTGAAGGCTAAGGACATCAGGAAACCAAGTAAAACGTATTCAGTGATGCATAATAGAGAAGAGTGGCTGAATAGCTGGCAATCATACATTTTAATCAGTAAGTCACTGCTGTACTGCTACCTTGACGTAGTGGTCGGGCTTGCATATCACAATGACCCAACGAGCTTTACTGGTGGAACATTTGTTCCCTCGACGTCCTACCATACCAGAAACGTCTGTTGGATAGTGGTTAAACGAAAAACAGTTACCGTTATAGTGTAAATTGCTACACTTTGATGGGGATCTGAGGGTGAAGTCGTACTGCTGCTAGCTGGATGGGGTGTGACAGCAGTAAGGTGTTTCCCTTGGATGACCAGCAGTGCCATTCTGTTTCTGCCTTCTCAGTGAAAGAGGGGGGGGTTAGAAAAGGCCGGTTCAAAAATAACACACTCCACCATGCCCCATGGTCTGCCGGGTCGGCAGTGTTGGTTCATTTGTCGCTTCCTTTCAACCATCCGGCCCAAAAATACAAAAGTTCAAAATAATCATACTCAAAAGGCTTTGTGTGACAGGCCTCAAGCAGATGTCCTCTGCGGATGGGCTCTGCGGTCACACAAATCTCTTTTAGGTACCTTAAGAAGAAATAGCCTTTCACGGTGTGGGCAGTCGGGAAGTGTCAACCGCCCTTACAACTCTGTCAGCACTCAAGTTTCTTCTGACTGCTATCCATCTCCTCCATCATTGATTGACAACTACTGATGAGGAGTATCAAAACGTGGCAAAGCAAATGCCAAGTACCTTCTTTCTCTGCTTCTCTCTTCAAATATTTCTTTGAATGGTGGAAATTTCTAATGAAGGTTATTAAAAAATCAATTAAAGTGCTTGTTGTGCCAACCTAATAGTATAAAATTGTGTTCATTTCAAGAAATTTTAGAATACCTTGTAGAAACTTCAATAAATCAAACAAGGTTCAAATCCATTACCTTATAGTTGAAAGTGAAATGCTCAAACTAATTAACTACAGTATTTAGCTAACTGTCAAATTATGGAAACATGCATTTTTTTTTATATGTAACGCATCTACCGAATGTGGTTAAATCTTAATGAGTTTTCATGCTTCCATTTCAGACTTTATATAACAGGACTGTATACTGATACAGATCAACGAAATTAACCGCAAAATACTTTCAAATAAGAAAGATTTACCCTAAAAATTACTCGGAAATAAGTTTGATATCATATTTCATCATTATGATTTTTACAAGTACTTAGATAATTGAGAAACTGAAACTCGTTTTACATGTATCAATTTTTTTAATAAGCAAAGATTATCCATCAAAGTTCGATAAATAAAACAATTGCCATCGACTTGTGGGTAGAATACAATAGAATTCGTGTAGACGATCATGAAGAAGATAATTATGAAAATCAACGGTAGAGTACGGTGAATGATTACATGAGTTGGCTTTTGAAACATGACTGACATTTGATGAATAAATTGATTTTCTAAGTAAACTTTGTTGTAGTGAAACCATACAATGAGTAAAATTGAGCATAAGTATACCGATTCAAGTAAGAACGATTAATTGAACAACAATGCTGTTAATCTACATCATAGGAGGTGGCTATCACACACATTATACACCCAAATTTAACATCCATCTTAATGTGCAATAATATTCGAAGTAGGAGAATAATGCGACTATACATACGACTGTAAAGCACGCATGCTATGTAAAGGTTAGTCGTTTTGCCTGAATAACCACATCTCAGTTGACAGAATAAGCTTCAAATCATGATCCCTGAATAAAAAAAGTAGACATTTCTACATGTTATTTTGGAACAGTGTCAGTTTAACAAGAGATCAAAGTTTCACCAAGTGTGGAGCAAAGCGTACACTCGTCAATGATGCTGGATGACGACCAAATTACATCTCAAATCGACAAAAGTTGGATATAGTAATTCACTGAATTCTAACCCACGGGTGAACACTAATGCGCTTACTATGAAACCTGACGGTCATCGGTTCAATCTTTCTCGATGTCGTGGGTGTACACCACTAAGAAGTTTCAAATTAAGATGAAACAGATGTCCTGAACCTTCAGATCCTCAATGGTTCTCCAAGCTGGGGTGAAAATTACTTGTATCAAAAAGTTTAGACAAATACACAAATCTCTTCTATAAACTTCACTAGAAGTCTATGCATATCATATTTCCTGATTTCAATTGTCTGGTCTTGACTTTCATCGTTTGCACAGTAGAATATGAAAAGAAAAATAATTGATCCTTTGTATTTCAGGATGAAAAAAACACCTTGCTTGATCATATTTCTAGTGATCAAATAAAACGGGTGAAAATAATAAAACTGATATATGAACCTAACAAATCATTGTCTTTTTTCAGATGCATAAATTATAAATTTGTCGCCAGGCCTAGACTTCTTAGAATTATCTCATTTCCAAAAATGATCCTAATCTTTGCATAGATCTTCGACTGTTTAGAAAAAACAAAAAAAAACTACTTCAAACATTGACTCACTATAGATCTAAACGAAATGGGCAAGTTATTAATTTTTACGGGCTTTTTTCCCCATCAATAGGAGAAACAACTTCAGTTACTTCCCTGTCATCACAAGAATTTGTGAAGTAGAACTCTGTTTCAGTATGGATACAGAAATTCACTTATTGATAAGTAGATGAAGAATAAGCCTAGTACACCACACAACTCAACAGTGCCTAAGAAATATTTATGTATGAATCTGAAATGAAAGGGGGGTGTACTTATTTGAATTCTAGAAACTCATCTACCAAAACCAGTTCGGATAGGATTATCAGCTACATTTTTATGTCTGATTTCCTCCTCACATACTCTAGATCTCAAGAGATATGGCCCGCTTTTTTTGATACATATCTGCGTACAAGCGTACTTACTTCTGTTGAGGTAACTACACAAGCCATAGCAACAGAACACTGTCAAGATGTGCTCAAGAACTTTTATTCGCATAGAATCCACACTAACTAATAGTACCATTCCGGAGCATAATGTCCAATCAGCCCACGTAGTATATATACGAAGTTCACTCAAAATGATCTATGAACGAAGACCATGTAGTTCAAAAGGACTCCCATTACATAGTGTCTGTATAACAGAAGTTCCTACTGTTCATAAATGGAACCTAAAACTGTGTACACAATAGTTTGGTTCAATCCAATTTGTCACGATGGCATTAGTTTTACAAGTATTCAACTTGCTTTGAGCAACTTGCCAAGTGAACCATCTTTATTCCTTTTTCTACAAACTAGCTGTACGATTTCAAGTCTTTCTCTTTCTCATGAACATAACACTCTTGTTCTCCAGTTATGTTTTCGTAAAAACTGAGCACTTCTGAGCTCTGTTCACTACTTAATATTTGCGAATCCCTTATGTTAGCCTTCTGGTTGAGACCCAAAATGTCTGATGACATTAATATTTAACCCCTTTTGATATTCTTCATCAAATTTTCAAATAATTTTTCAACAGTATAACTATTATGAGAAGTTGTAAAAGGTTTCTTTAATGGTCACTGTCTTCATAACTTTTAAATTTTCGCAAGACTACACTGTGAAATTTGAATTTGCCTTTTGTCTCGTCTTTATCATCTAAAAGAGTAATCCAAGCAATCTCTTCTGCTCGGTATTAAACTGGGTGAAGGTGAGCAAGAAGTGGTTATTAAATAATTAGATTCGCGACAACTTTTATGTTATTGTAATTTATTAAACACTCAGCTACAAACATAAACATACATGCACCATCAACTTCAAACACCAAACAGTTAGTTTGAGACTCATCAGAAGTATGAATTCCCGGGAAGATGTGAGATCAAACCCAAGACCATTGTCCCATACGAATAGCATGTAGTCATTCAGTCACTGCATTGAAATCCAGCTAATCTTCAATTTGGTATTCATCATGGAGTGACATCAGTTGGAGGAACATCTGGAAAGTGGGAGCACTAGGCAGTTGTTTTGGCTTAGTACGGGACTCCCCAGCAATGCGCACCCATCATCCCGCTCTCCAGTGATCGAACCCAGAATCTTTAGGTCTCATGGCCAACACGTTACCATAGAGCCACTGGATCGGAATCCAATGGTCGATATTTCTAATTTCTGTCAGTTCGCGATGTAGCACGACCATCACCCAATGTCATCGCTGAGTATTTGTTCTCACGACTATCAGGTTTGCCGCACTGGTCATTACTTCTCATTAATGTCAGTCCATGATCAATACCAACTTGAAATCAATAAATCCCCACAAATCCCTAAATTAAACACATCTATCTTCATCGATTATTAAAATCAATATATAAAACCATATAAACTTACTTGAACAACCATTTTCATGTATTTGTACACTTAATTGGTCATTAAGTGAAGTGAATGACTTCAGATTCGTATTAGATATGAAACGTTCTGGTTGTTTACTCTGTGTTTGTTGTTTTTGTTGTTTAAGTCCATGAGAGTGATGATTGTCATCAATAGTAGTGCTGTCAATGTTATTATTATTATTATTATTATTATTCGAAGAGTGCAAAGGTGTAGATGACATTATTATTGGTGGCATTGTATGTGATTGACTAGATAATGGATTAAAATGGTTTATTTTTGATGGCGAAGAAGTACTTGATGGTGAGGATGAAGAAGAGGATCTGTTAACTTCTAAATCAACACCATTGGTATTACCGCCAGCAGCAGTAGCAGCTCCGCCAACAGTGTTATGTGTTACACTACCACCATTTGTAAAATTTGATGAACATGACATACAATAATAAGATCCATCGAGTATTGTCGTCCGTTCGCCTGAATTGAATAAACGTCTAAAAATATTTCATGAATACAAACAACAAACATTGAATCATGCATAAAGTTAGTATAGATCGAAATTGCACTTCATTGTATGTGCAGATAGGAAATGTAAACAAAGAACTTACTGTTAGATAGTATTTTAAAAAAATATCTTACGACACTATGGTTACGTCATCAATACTCTATATTTTGATTAAAAATACTTTACACAAGAAAGTGATAGCGAAAACTCAAACAGAAAAATCACAGTAGTTCGAAAATGGCAGAATAAATCTACTCAATCATAGTTCAGGACAAAAGAAATGACTACAACGAAGAAGTATGTTCTTCCTCAAAACCTGCTCCGGAACGCTAGCTACCCACACCCTGGCCAGCAAAGGAAACACACCTTCAACTCAATAACATCTTGTGAAGTCCGGTAAGTCAGCTTCTTCTGAGAACTTTTTTAAAAATCACCTATAGGGTTCTACCAAGCAAACTAAAGGGAGTAAGATACAAGCATTTGGCTATAATTGAAGAATTAACCACCCAGAATTTCAAACTAGAGCTACGTGTCCAGAAAAGTATGTTCAACTTTTATCTTAGTCACGGCCATCATGAAGCCTTGGCTGTCCTAGGTAAATCCTGTAAAACGTAATCATAATTATTTTCTTAATCCCTTGTTTATTTTCCGACTCTAAACTCTCATCTGCATTACGTAACTTCTTTTCGTTATTCAATGTTTTGATCACTGACCGGAAATAATTGTAGAACGTACTACCCTTTGCAATATATATATATATATATATATATATATATATATATATATATATATATACGAATGTACAGGTTAGTAAATGACTTCGTCGAAAATAAAAATTTTCTTCGATGTAACCGTCTTCTTTTCGTTCTTTCCTAATCCCAATATGCTACACAGTAATGATAAGAATTCACTGTCGCTGGTGTCAGAAAAACTTGATCTTCATTTGAAGAATGTCTACTTACAGAATCACATAGATGTAGCAGTATTCTATTTCACAAAAGGCACTTCGCTCTGAACAGTTGAAAGTGATAATCAGAGGTTACAAAATCCAGACGTAGTAAGAAGAGGTTTAACAGACAGACAGACATTTAAGTAATTACTGAAATAGAAAATGCATGCCCCATAAATTTGGAACATCAGTTAAACGTTTCATTGATGTTATCAATAAAGAAATATCCCAAGATTCCGATATCTCTCTGTATGCATGAAGTTCACACTTTACAACGACAAGGTAGACACAGAGAGATGTTTACTTCCAGATAGATAATCCTGAGAACCATCGATTTACCTTATTGCTGTTCACACAGTAAGAATCCCCCTCGTTGGCAGAATCTTTAGTTGAGTCTGGATATAAATTTTGTGGGTCGCTAGGAACAGGATTACTAGACATTCCAGTAAAAAACTATGGCTCTTATAACAAACTACTTTACACTAACAAGTTACACTGTTGTTATGTTTCTTGTGAAAACCTAGTTGAAACCAGTTTTTCGCTGTCATTGAATTCTCAGTTCACATAACTAGATTTCAATTTAGCAAGATACCTTATATGTTAAATTAGCTCTTTGCAGATATTTATGTATGCGTATTTTTCACCTTACCACTACTTTGGCATAATAAAAAGCCCAGCTAATTATCTTGCAATGGTAACAGTTCACGCTTCTGATCATACCACCTTTCCTTCTTTAGTAAAAGATGTCAGGAATCCTTTTTTCAGAAGTAGCAACTTCGAATGCCATCACGATAAACATCTGTTAATGCTAACGATTAAGCATAAGTATTTTGGGATATATCTTCACGTTAGACTGAAGTGCATCACTAATTTTCAGCTGAAAAGTTTGCCAAAAAAAAAGCCTACCTCAGAGAACAACTCAATCTGATCAGTTCAAGTCATAATGCAACACAGCAATACTAATACTTTCTAATCATTTTCTTTCTTGTAAAAATCAACTCAAAATAACCAAGAATAGAGAAAAGGTAGTAATTAGTGAAATGACTGTTGAGCACATGAATTATTTTACTCATATATTCATATGACCGAAACTTCAAACATTATCAATATAGGGCTAAGACTTATTAAAGCATGTGATGTCATCATGTGAAGGCTGCATCACAGGTATACACTACATAACACGGAATAACACGTGTAGTGTTAAAACACACCACTTGACAGTAAGTATGAATGAATTCGATAAAAAGATACAACATAAGCTGTTCTTGCTTTATTGAGAAATTGTTGATTGGAATAAGATAACACTTGGTGTAGTCGAGGTATGCAACTGAAACTGTGTGTTGCTTCCGAACACTCCAAAAATAGTAAATCAACCAACATGAAGGAAATAACGAAAAACCCTATATGCAATTACATGCATGGTTACACACCAGGCACTGAATCACACGCAGCAGTGTTTACGTTAATGCCACTACTTGACTACCAGGCCTCGACAGAAGGAGTCAGGTTAGAACCATTCATCTGTAGGTTGGAAGTTGGCTGCATAGACCGATAAGCCATAGCAAAAGTCGAAAGAATTTTAAAAAATTAGACGATGTGAAAATAAGATGAATGTTTTTCAAATAATCAAACACTATTGAAAGAGACTTGAGAAATAAGACTTTCCTCGAAAAAAAAGGTAAGGAATAAAAAGATTTCAAAAGGTTTTTCCTGTGACTTCATCTATAATTGCATAATACAGTTAGAAAAATGAAAACAAGTGGTTTAACGAAGATCCTGTTTTCGGTGATTTCATTCGCTAAGTTGTTCAGTCGCATTTATGTGTACAACCTTTCGGTGGGAATGTACAATTTATCTCATGTGTGAGATCGGTGGCAGGGGGTCATGGGTGCGTACTGCTGAGGAATCACATACAGGGACGAAATAACTCTCCAGTATGCACAGATTTCTAATTTTTCTCCAATGGATGTCAGTTCATGATGAATGTCACTCTGAAATGAGTTTGGTTGACATGACAATAAGCAAGGTGAATACATACATATAAAACAACCAAAATTTCATTTTTACCTTACAATAATCAAAATGTTTATAACGATGTTGAAAAGTAATCAAAGAGCGTAGTAACAAACAAAGTTAAACTATCATGACCTAGAAATCCAGGGTTGCTCAGTCTGAATAACAAATTGATTAAAATGACAGTGTTTAATGAGTGAATTGTTATCAGGGGGAGCATAGAAACAAGGAATAGTCGAACCGGGTGTATAGGCCGTTCGACACGGGTCCTGTTCAAAACGGTTCAGGAACACTATTCCACGTGAATATAAAGAGCTAACAGCAGATTTATAAGAAGAGTAATAATGGAACACGTTGTCGACATTAGTCATCCACTTTTAACAATCACATCTTTCAAAGTTATTTACAAATTTAAAAGAGACTTCCCAAAGTCTGTGTGCATCCACCACCTTTGTATTGTTGAGGCTTTAGGGATTCAGATAGAAAAACTAGAGTTCTGTATACAAAAGAAACTTGTTCAACCCTTGCTCCTTTCATGGTCTTAAGCGTTTCAAAACGTTTCCCCTACCCCCTTTTATCCTATTCATTTCTTACGTACCATGAACCATTCCTTATTTCGCTGCTCACCCTAACAACAGTTCATTCTCATTTTGACTATCTGCGATAGTCGTGGTTTGGGAGACTAGTATGTATGCTGGGTGATGGTAAAAGGTAAAGTGAAAATTTGGACCACGGCCGGTCTCTGGTTCGAATCCCGCCCATCACCCAGCATAAATACTAGTCTCCCAAACCACGGCTATCTCAGATACTCAAAATGATAATCAATTTGATGCTCTCCCTCCCTAATTCGGTTACATTTGAATTGGGATGAGAAGTCATGTGATCAAACGGTAGTAATGAGTCATGAATTCAAATGGTAGTCGGGAAAAACCCATGATGACTTAAGTGAAATAAAAATCTGGTCAGCAGTCGAACCTCGTAGCTCAGTTGGTAGAGCATTGAGCTGGAAACCCGGTGGTCTCTGGTTCGAATCCGGCTATGGTCCGAATTTTCATTTCACTTTCAATCGCCACCCACTATAAACAGTTCATTCACCAAATATTTTGTCAGTTTGGAAGCTTGTGCAGATTTTATTGGTTCCAAGCTAGTATTCATCATAGACTGACATCAGTTCAGGATAATAATGATATTTCGATTTTTTATACATACCACTTTGCTTGTTGGCATGCCTAAAAAACTACTTTCATATATCTAAAAAATTGTACATTCTTACCGAAAAGTTGTATATAAATGCTATTATACAACTTAGTGAATTAAATCGCCAAAAAGAGTTTCTTTGCTTAACCACTTGTTCTCACTTTTTTTATAGTTAAGAAAGTCTACAGATCATACTAGCTAATCATTAATCACTGCAATCTTGATGCCGGCAAACAAAACACCGAGTTTCGCTTACGTCAACTTGGTTACTATGTATAAAATAGTGTAAAATATGTGAACTGCTTGTTATCCCACTACTGGACAGCAAACAACTCACTTCTAATTTGCAAATTTGAAAGAGATTTATTGAGAGTAGATAATATTAGATCTGACCAGAGGCATGTTTACAGAATAGTAGATGATGTTTCGCAAGCATTTAAGAAAGAGTTAATCTATCCATCCAAATCAATATAGGACCAGGCATTACTGCATAGCGGTCCGAGTTGCCACACCTCATATCACCAGTAAAGTGGAAGATGAAGGAAGGAAAATTCACTCAAAAGAAATACAAACTACTAGAAGAGAGAAAGGGAGAATGAGAAAATGGTGAGATTCGGTATAACGTTAAGATCAGGAGAATATGTGGATACATCTGCATCATTGACATAGCTTCTCAGCCATATCATCACCTACAGCCTCCAACCACTTGTTACTCTTATCCAGCGAACTCCAGCCAACCCGTCTGCATAGCCCCACATAACTCAAACCAAAGTCAAACACTTCATACATTGGTACCATGTTTTAGTCTGGCCACCTCAGACCTTTTTCCAGCCCGAACTTATTTCGGCCAACATTGTGTGACGAGGTAGACGGTGACTAGGCATACGTAACACACGTCCCAACCATCAAAAGAGCTAATACTCTTTACATTTCTACATATATCCATAACGTGTTAATATGAATTTTATCTTCTGGCTAATTTTGCCACCTTTCTCTTTTGTCGATTTTTCACTTTTGAAATGATGAAACATGTTTCAACTTGGGCAGATATAAATTAATGCATGTACTAAATCCTTCTATCTACCTACCTATATGTTTGTTAATTGTTGACAAAGTAAACGGTATTCAACAATTGATTCCATCTTGTACTAATGTTTACATTTCAGCTAACAAATTGATAAATCCTCAAGTGAAACAACAGATATACAGATAATATGAAAGAGAAATGTTATTGGTAGCGAAGTGGGTTAATAACGCAGAATCCGCTAGTTGAAATCCTGTCATTACCAAGGTTTTTCTATTTCAACTTTCATCATTATATCACTCATAAAAAAAGCGAATCTCTTGAATTTATTTAACTTAGAATCATGATAAAAAAAAGAAAACTAACAGAGTAAAAGCATACTAAAGTAACAACATAAAAATGAACGTAAAAGAATAAGATTATCAGGTATTGAAGAGTTAATTAATCTACAGGACTGTGATCGATCGGAACCAACAGTAAAATGGTATATATAACACATGGCCTAGATGCTTTCCTGACTGATAGCTGCTACCTTGACGTGGTGGTCGGGCTTGCATATCACAATGACCCAACGAGCTTTACTGGTGGAACATTTGTTCCCTCGACGTCCTACCATACCAGAAACGTCTGTTGGATAGTGGTTAGACGAAAAACAGTTACCGTTATAGTGTAAATTGCTACACTTTGATGGGGATCTGAGGGTGAAGTCGTACTGCTGCTAGCTGGATGGGGTGTGACAGCAGTAAGGTGTTTCCCTTGGATGACCAGCAGTGCCATGCTGTTTCTGCCTTCTCAGTGAAAGAGGGGGGTTAGAAAAGGCCGGTTCAAAAAATAACACACTCCACCATGCCCCATGGTCTGCCGGGTCGGCAGTGTTGGTTCACTTGTCGTTTCCTTTCGACCATCTGGCCCCAAAAGTTCAAAACAATCATGCTCAAAAGGCTTCGTGTGACAGGCCTCAAGCAGATGTCCGATGGGCTCTGTGGTCACACAAATCTCTTTCAGGTACCTTAAGAAGAAATAGCCTTCCACGGTGTGGGCAGTCGGGAAGTGTCAACCACCCTCACAACTCTGTCAGCACTCAATGATGATGACTAGATGCTTTAATTATTGCAAGTTCACTAACTTAGTGATTAATTCAACTTTGTTATCCAGAAATTTGTATCTAGACTCAATGCTACTGATTCAACAGTTCCAACAGTAAGTCCTTAAAGGATATACATGACTGATTAAGATATGACTTCATTTCTGTGTATAATATATCACAACGAATAAGAACTTTCGTGACAAACATCCTAAGGTTGTATTATTGAGAGATACTTCAACTTCAAACATCATTTGTGCCCACCAGACTACTGGACTGGAAATAGACTACAACAGAAATCTTTATAGTCTTTTCAGTATATAACCCTATTTCACTGTTATTTTTGGAAACAATCCTTATTATGAACAGAGGAAATGAAAGTACATTAACTCTTTTATCAAATCTCGCTGTTAAAGATTTCTAGTCTGACAGTGAAGTATTAGTAAACAAAAATTAATTAAATTTTGAGGGAGTTGTGGGAATTTGGAAATATTTTAAGTTGTTATTCATCGTAGACTGATATCGATTGGAGGAATAAAGAAAACCTTGGAGCACTGAACAGCGCTGTTTCATCCTAGTATGGGACTCCTTAGCAATCCGCACCCATGACCTCAAAGGTTACGGGTTCGATCCCTGGCGGGGTCGTGGGTGTGCACTGCTGAGGAGTCCCATACTAGGATGAAACAGCTGCTCAGTGCTCCCAGGTTTCCTTTGTTCCTTCAACTGATGTCAGTCTACGATGAATAACAACTTGAAAAATTAATTAAGCTAAACATGAAAAAAATATATATAAACGAACCTGCATGTTGTACACCGGAAACAATGAGTATGAAATGTCTTCCCCAATACTGTTACAACTTCACCTTCAACATAATTATGACATGCTTCACAGCGTACACCATATTCTGTCTGATAATCATTTGGACAGTAGAATTTTTTATCTTTAACAAAGAAACCACCTTGTTTTAAATTTTTTCGACATTCTATTTGAAAATAATAATAAATCAAGGTTATTTATCTTGTTCAGAATAACTGAATATTTACTTACTTATACACTGAAAACATTTGTAGTGTACAAATTGTTGTTCAATTTTCAATACATCACCTTTACATCGTTTATGGCATACAGTACAATAAACTTTAACTAAAAGTAAAAATAAAAATATTTCTTAGTAAAAATTTGATTGATTAAATGAATGAACTTATCATAAAAAACGATCGATGAAAAATAATTCCCATCGTTACAATAGCTACTATTTGTATATTTAAATAATTCAAGTTGTTATTCATCGAAGACTGACATCAGTTGGAGGAACAAAGGAAACCTGGGAGCACTGGACAGCTGTTTCGTCCTAGTATGGGACTCCTCAGCAGTGCGCACCCACGACCCCACCAGCAGGGGTCGAACCCGCGACCTTCAGGTTCCGCGACCAGCACGTTACCATTGAGCCACTGGGTCAGAATTCAATGCTCCATATTTCCAACTTCTGTTAGCTCACGATATAGCGCAAACCGCCACCCAATGTCATCGTTGAGTATTTGTCCTCACGGCCATCAGGCTTTGACTCCACCGGTCACGACTTGCCATTGGAACTTCGGGAATACTTCTCAAAGCTAGTCACCAACGAGCACTAGTTCAATTAATTTTTTTTTTGAGAGGGTTGTGGAGATTTGGAAATATTTCAATGGTAACGCGCTGGTCGCGGAACCTGAAGATCGCGGGTTCGATCCCTGCTAGTGGGGTCGTGGGTGCGCACTGCTGAGGAGTCCCATACTAGGATGAAACAGCTGTCCAGTGCTCCCAGGTTTCGTTTGTTCCTCCAACTGATGTCAGTCTTCGATGAATAACAACTTGAAATATTTCCAAATCTCCACAACCCCCTCAAAAAAATATTTAAATAATGATAATATTACCTTAGCAACTGGACCATACAGAAATAAAAAAACAAACGAAATTCGAGTTTATTGCCCATGATTAAACATAAACATGTTATAACATTGAAAAATTTTACATTGAGAGAGAGAGAGAGAAAAGAGGGGAAGAGGAAGCAGGATGAAAAGAGAGAGGTTTTACTAGACGAAAACTTAGTTTTATATTCGAAATAAGATATCAATGGAATGATAGTATGATATGTTTTGAAAAAAATGATTGACATACCTATCGATTAGTAAGTAAAAGAAACAAAGCAAAAATTTTACATGATTTTCTATCCGGAGGTTTGTGGAGATTCATCATGGATTGACATCAGTTGGAGGGATGTCTGGAGAGTGGGAGCACCAGACAGCTGTTTCGCCCTAATATGAGACTCTCCAACAGTGCGCATCCATCATCCCGCCCTCTAGGGATCGAACCCAGGACCTTCAGGTTTCGTGGCCAACATGCTACCACTGAGCCACTGGGTTGCAATCCAATAATCCATATTTCCAACTTCTGTCAGTTCACGATATAGCGCGACCTACATTCAATGTAGTCGTTCAGTAAATGTCCTCATGTTCAACTTGGTTCACTCCACTGGTCACGACTTCTCATTGGAACTTCGGGAATCACCTCTCGAAGCTAGTCACCAATGAGCGCCAGATTAGTTCTATCTGAAGGTTTATGGAGATTTATTAATTGGTTTCATTACTTTTCAGGATCTATGAATAACTTGATGTTACTGCTGCATTGATAATGGATTCGAGTCTAGGTGCGAACATCACCCAGGCATGTCCAGCTAACGAGTCACAAATAAAACGAAACGCGTATCCTGTAGTCCACTGCTAGCCATTACTCATCATTATTAAAAATAACATCTAGAGTTCAAGAATTCAAACTACGAAACACCCATATAAGTTCTTAGCCTATATAAACTCACTACTGATGAACAGAAGCCTAGCTTCTTATATGAACAATGATGGGTTGAAATTGTCAACCGTTTCGACTAGTTAAATCAGTGTAGTTCCCGGGACTTTTAAACCTGTCGTTCAGTAGTTACCTTTTTCATCAACGGATATCTCCTGAAGTTATGAAATGACACGACGCTTAGAGTGAAAAAAATCGAAATCAAAGGCTTATTAAAAATGCCAGTGTACGACAATACTGAAATCGTGATTTGTTCATAGCTGGGATACACAGACCCACAAAGTAAACTATAGTGTACTCACTACAAGACTGAGAAAGCATAACTAGAGAAAGAATTTCATTCTTGGGAATTGTAATCAAAGTGAAGTGCATTTCAGACACCTCTGAAATTTAAAATCTTTTAATATTTGGGTAAATGAGATATGTGGACACTAAATTATGAATACGATCTTGGAAAACATAGGGTCATTAATTACAAGGAGTATCTGCAACGCCGTGAGAACTGATGTTACCTCCAAACCCATGTTACCCAGTGTTGCAGTCAGCGATATTTACCACGGAGCCATTCGGGCTGCAATTTGTCTTTTGTAAGACTAACTGATGGTGTTGCTAAGACAACTAGAAATACTATCAGAATTATTAGGATTTACGATGTGTGGAGATCGGTTCCGAGGCACGTTGCCAAAGTCCTCAGTCACTGAGTTTGGTTGTCAAACGGACCTTAACCTGGTGGTCTACATTTCCCTACATGGTTAAGACCAATAATCAGAGACTTCATGGACGGATTCTATGTCTATGAAGTTTCTGGCTGTACGAAATGATTCTCTAAGAGTTTCCCTCACACAAAAGCACAGAAGTTTCATACTGTAGCTAGAAACAAAATCTGTGAAATGCAGAGGCCATCTGCTTGGTTTCAGCTAACAATGAACTTCATGAACGAAACGTTCGTCAGTCAGGTTTACCTATCGATATCTCAGGGGAAATTCATGTTTTCACAATAGCACAAAGTCGTGATGAGACGCTTCAAACTGTACTAACTTAAGTCAATAGGCCAGTTGCCTTGGATTCTTAGTGGGACACAGAGCTTCAGTAGCATGTCTCCATTGCACTCTGTTCTCTGAAGTCCTTTGAACCCGGCTCCATGATTGCCCATAAGCTCTCATTTCTTCCTCACATGATCTCCTCCATATCACCTTCGAACGCCCAACTCGTCCCTTCCCATATGGGTTCCACTCGACGACCTGGCCTGACGCGTGATGTCCCCAGTAGGCCTTCTCAGTCTATGCCCAATCCATCTCCACTTCCTTCTGCATATTTGTTAGGTGATAGGTTCTTGATTGGTTCGCTCCTAGAGTTCCTCGTTGCTTATTCGTTCTCGCTATCTAATCTTGAGTATCGAGTCAGCGCAGACAGATGCTGATGAATGTCTGTAGCTTGATGCAAATGCTTTTCGTGACATGCCAAGTTTCTGAACCATCACATGGAAGCACTGACTTGTCTGACGTTGGTGTTGAAAATCCGGATCTTGTTTTTTGTGCTGAGTGCAGTAGACCTCCACACTGATTTCAGATTACTGGAAGCCTGTCTTGCTTTTCCGATCCTGGTTTTGACATCCTCATCTGTGCCTGTGCCGCCTGTAGTTGAAACGATGCTGCCTTGCCTAGGTAGGTGAGAGGCTACCTCCTTTCTCCCACTGATCGTAATTGGTGCTTGTTGTTGTTCTTGTTGGTTGGTTATCTTCAGCACCTCCGTCTTCTCTACGTTCACGTGAAGTCCCGTTTTCGCTGCCCTGCCTCTTCTATCGACTTGTTAGTTTTCGCCTGTAGATCTTCGAGTTTATGCGATAAGACATTAGACATAAATCATCATCGTTGGCGAAATCCAAATCTTCTAGGGTCTTTTCATTGGTCTAGCGTATGTCCCTCTTCTCGCTCCTCACGGTTTGCTGCATGATCCAGTCCACCACAATCAGGCAGATTATGGGTGATAGTAAGCAGCCTTGTCTTACTCCTGTCCTCCCTCCAAAGGCGTCACTGAGCTTTCCATTGTGGATCGCATATTAATCGACCGCATTTTATTTTGAGTACCAGTGGTAACGTAATCACTAACTGATGGGTTTTGAATAGGATAGAACATACGACTTTGACTTCCATGTGAGGCTTCACTAAAGCAGACTACCAAGAAAACAATTATGGCCACATTTAAAAGAAGACTGATATAATAATACAAAAGCTGATCAAAATAGTTTCGTGAAATAAAATAACGGGAAGTTACAAAGTTTACATGACAATCCGTTAAATGCCTTGGCATTTACGCAACGTTATACATCATCATTTCAATTGTATTGCTTTTAATACAAATGAACCAAATAAAAGTAGCAATGTAGAAAATGTTCATGAAGCATATCGACTTAGATGTTACTTGGTTGGAGGCAATCGGCAGAAAGCCCTGCCGCTTAGTTTCGTGCTTGTTGGCACTTATCAGCAAGGCGTATCTGTAACCTCGACGGGACTGACGTCCCGCCTAAGATTTGAACCCGCATCACATAGTGTTGTAGTCAATGACTTTACCACAGCTATTCGGGCTGCAACTGACCTCATCCTGTAGGACTGGGTTACATGTATGCACTTGATTTTCTGCACTTTGCAGTAACATAGAAAGAGCAAACAAAGAGAGAGAGAGATTCCCCCAAAACTGTACAATGTATATAAAAGTAACAAAGCGTACGAACTATAAAGGAGTTCAAACAGAGAATGTATCTGAACTGTTGTTTTGAAAACAACAAAAAACAATATTTTCTGTTTGATGAATATAGTCTTTAATACTCTTCATACTATGAATCCAAACTATTACTAATTAAAGTATTTTTCTTTATCTTTCAAGTTATTATGAAAAAAATATTTGTAGATAGAAGAAAATTTCTAATATCCTTGATTTCAACAACTTCAAACTTGATCAATTAAGTAATCAAAAATGCTATAAATTTTTCTTTTATGACCTATTCGATTTGAGTATGACTTCAGTATTTGACATAATAGTTGTTAACGGTTCATTGAATGAGTTTTTAGACTTAGTACCGATGGATAGTTTTATTAACAAATGAATCAGTACAACAGACAGAATATGATATAATAGACGTAACTATTCATCAAGTCAGAATAACAACTAATACCTGTTTCAAAATATATGACTATTGTAATTCAGTCGTCATAGGTTTCAAGTTATCAGCGATAAGTTAAAATTCTAATGAAAATAGCTGCCAGTATCACCTAATAGATTGTAAGGGAATTTAACTTAAGAGG